AACTAGCTGTACTCCTCATTCCACGAGGAGTACAGCTAGTTTGGATTAGAAGCCTAATCCGAACTAGCTACTCCGTGCCGCGTGTAGCCGCGCGACACGGGGTTCGAACTAGCCGGCATTTAAAAATGGCGCCGGCCGGATTCATGCAAATTTAGCCCAGGAAATTCAAATCCCGGGCTTCATTTGCAATTGTGGATGACTACATTACCCCTGCTAGTTCGAACTAGCGGGGTAGTGTAGACATACCCTGACAGTGGGTAACGCCAAACCAAGACACGTACCGGAGTGAATGTGCCATAGCAGAACGCAACTCAGGGAAAGGCCTGGGTGTCATTGCTGGCAGCTCAAAGGAACCAGCTAGTGCCCAACACTAACACTATTCAGGTGCCAAAGGAACGGGGTGGTCCAGACATTCCCCCAGTTTTGATCACCCAGTCACTCCGAAGGACAGAGTAGATGGAAGGAGGGTTTCCCTGATGGGTTATGAGAACTGCCATGTGTGGACAGATTGAAATGCCTGAGAATGCTTAAGGAAGAAACTAAAAAGGAAGAATATGGTAGAGGAAAAAAAGAATGGAACTGATTACTTTCTCATGGAGAAAAAACAACTTAAAAGACAATGAAAAGTTCTGCACCATCTTAAAGATTAACAAAACATGTAGATGGGGTCATGAGCTTTCATGGGTACAATCCACTTCTTCAGATGAATAGAGCTAGGGATCTGGGGTACGAATAAAGAGCAGAGAAAGACAGAGGATGGGGAGGAAAAGAGAAGGAAGAAAAAATAGCTTAGGAAGAAATAGGAAGAAAAAGTGTATGATCAGTTAGGCTACGTCTAGTCTATGGAGTTTTTCCATGATACCAGAGTTCTGCTTTTTTTTTGTTGAAGAGCATGGACACTCCTTCCGAAGCTCTGTCTTCTTCCTCCCACGAGGAAGAAGGGTTCTTCTGAAAGAGGAGGATTTTCTGAAATTTGGTCTGTCTACACTGGGCCAAATTTTGGAAAATCCTCTTCCGAAAAAACTATCAGAAAAAGCGGCGAGGGGTCCTGTGGCACCTTATAGACTAACCGAAGTGTTGGAGCACAAGCTTTCGTGGGCAAAGACCCACTTCGTCAGATGCATGTAGTGAAAATTTCCAGAGGCAGGAATAAATATGCAGGCCAGGATCAGGCTGGAGATGACGAGGTGGATCCAATCAAGGAGGATGAGGCCCACTTCTAGTAGCTGATCTGGAGGTGTGAATACCAACAGAGCAGAAGCTGCTTTTGTAGTTAGCGAGCCATTCACAGTCTTTGTTTAATCCAGAGTTGATTGTGTCAAACTTGAAGATGAACTGTAAGCTCTTGAAGAATTCCACAGGGATTTCAACAACTTCCAATCCACAATCACTCTCAGCCTAGACCAGCCCACATGAGAGATCCGCTTCCCTGACACTATAGTACAATTAAACAACAGCCACATTTCCATCACTTTATACCAGAAACCTACCAACTCTTACACTCACCTTCATGCCTCTAGCTTCCATCCAAGACACATTTCCTAATCAATTGTTTACAGCCAGGTCCTAAGATTCAACCGTATCTGCTCCAGTCCCACAGACAGAGACAAAAACCTACAGGATCTCTAGCAGGCATTCTTAAAACTTAAATACCCACACAGGAAAGTGAAGAAATAGATTGACAGAGCCAGACAGGTACCCTGATATCAGCTTCTTCAAGACAGACCCAACAAAGAAAAAAACACAAAACTACTGGTCAGCACCTACAGCCCCAAACTTAAACCCCTCCAGGGCATCATTGATAATCTTCAACCTATCCTGGAAAATGACTCCTCACTCTCACAGGCATTGCGGGACAGGCCAATCCTTGACTACATACAACCCCCTAACCTCAAACAAATTCTTTCCAGCAAGCACACAGGGGAGGGAAGCAATACAGAAAAAATGAGGGAAAAGGGAAAAATCAATAGCAAACAATACACATTGGACGTTGTGGACATTTTAAGGGATATTAGAAACAGTGAGAAATCCATGTCCGGCAGAGCTAAGAATAGCCAAAATGAGATTATTAACTATATAAAGAACACAACAAATCTTTAAAAAAAAAAAGAAAGAAAGGATCTGCCATTTCCTAGAAAGAGAAAGAAAAGTCACTGATGTTGCAGGAAAGGTCGACGTATTCCCGAAATATTTCTGTTGTGCATTCACAAAGAGGCACTCAGAGGCACTCATGTCACATGAGGTGATGAAATACATTCTTGTCCACTAACAGTCAATAAGGCTGTTAAACAGCATCTATTGTAGGGTATGTCTACACTAGCTCCCTAGTTCGAACTAGGGAGGCTAATGTAGGAATTCGAAGTTGCAAATGAAGCCCGGGATTTAAATTTCCCAGGCATTATTTGCATCTTCCCATCCAGGCACCATTTTTAAATCCCCTTAGTCCGAACCAACTGCCCACAGCTACACGCGGCAGTCAAACGTTTACTTGAACTACGTCCTTAGTTCGAGTTGACTGTTACACCTCTTTCCACGACTTAGTTTGACTTAATGTTTGACTGTCGCGTATAGCTGCGGGCAGTTAGTTTACACTAAGGGGATTAAAAAATGGAGCCCAAATGGGAAGATGCAAATAAAGCCCAGAATATTTAAATCCCGAGCTTCATTTGCAACTTTGAATGCCTACATTAGCCTCCCTAGTTTGAACTAGGGGTCTAGTGTAGACATACCCATAGACACTTGGAAACCCGGGACTTGTGAGCTAACCGATCTACGACAAATGTTATTTGCATTCAGAGATGCACAATCAGGCAGCAGCAGAACCAGAATATTTTTAAAGGCAAATCAAAGGCAGACGTGTGTTAAATAGAAACTATTAAACTAACCAAAACATTGACAGAACTGGCCAGGTTAGGACTCAGTAGAAAAGCTGGTCTGGGATTAGTTAATGCCAGTCACCAACATGCTTTATGGAAAACTCCTCCAGTAATACGAGTGCACATCTGGCTGAGAAGGGAACAGCGCACATGCAAGAGACTTTGATTTCTCTGACGCCTTTGATGTAAGAGGGAAACCTGACAGATCAACTATGTGCACTCTGCAATAGCATCAGAGCACCCACAAAATAGACAGACATCTGGTCACTCCGGGATTCCAGACAGACGATGTCCATGGGCCCCTGTCAGCCAATGGGGCTGTTTCAAGTAGGGCTCTGCAGCGATCACTTGTAGGCCTTGTGTGATTAGATATTTTCATCAATGACCAGGAAGCAAACTGAAAACATTTGGAGATAAAAGCTGTGCCTGAGCCAAAGGCCGGCAGGGGGATTACAAGGAGGCCAGGGCAGGCACCGATGGATTCTGCTTCCCAGCAGATACTCAGCAGATACAGCCCCCCGTTAACAGCCTGAGCCCGGAGATGCTGGGGGGGGAGGGAGGTGACAGTGTCTAGGCAGTGACACACAGCCGGCTGCTGAGGGCTTGGCTCAGTTCTTGCTCCTAGGAGAGTTTTGCCTCAGGAAGTCGAGTAAACTCTGAGCCATGGCCAGAGAATATTCTCCTGCCTTGTCCATCTGCTGGCATCTTTCATCCGACAGGATCCACTTTGCACCTGAAATGCAGCTGCCGTGGGCTAGAGGCCGTCCGCAAAGAGGGACATTTTCACCAGTAACACAAGGGCCCCAGAACGTTC